CGTAAGCTGTTTCCACAAGTTCTTCCAACCAATCTCACATCTACTTAAGCCGGTAGATAAGGTCAAATGTGTCAATCCAAATAGACCCTAAGAGAACTTGTTGCTTTTTTCAGGAAGGAAGATTAAGCAGAATAGTAATGCGGTGAAAGCAGTTGTTCCTTATAAGGTTGGAGTTCTTGAATGATTAAACTTATATTGATCTATCATTTTCTAATTGGTTTGTATGGATATGCTTCAGTCTGTTGTACAGCCACCTAAAGCAAACGGAAGCACCCTGTCTCAAGGAAAATCAAAGTAAATTATAAATCTCTGAATCCTTCTTTTCTATTAGCATTGCATACCGGTATAATTGTATTGGGCCTTATACCGGTACACAACGTAAACCAGGTTGTTAACATCTGTGTCTTATTCACTTCTTTACGTACTGTTTTAGTGTTCAGATTTTGAGAGTCTTGGAGACACGCAACTCGTTGCTACATAAAGAGCAAGGAATGGCATTTGCACGTGCTGTTGCTGCTGGTTTTGACATTGTCTACATACCAGATTTGATGTCATTTGCTGAACGCTTTGAAGCGTCACGCTTGATGTAAGAATAGTCTTCTTTCTTAACCATCTTTTTCTGAATTGTTGGTTAGTAAGCCATGTATGATTTCTGAACAACCTTGCTGATTCTAATTTTGTCGCATTTCAGGGATGCATGTACAAAATTCACATCTCTATGGAGAAGAAAGCATGAAAATGGCCTATTGCTTGAAATTAAAGTTTCTGAAGTGACTCCTAACCGTGCAGACTACTCTGCTATAAATACATCTGGCATTGTGCTTTCTGACAATTCGGTCAATGCATCCCACACTGATATAGGCTCAGAAAGTAATGGTGGAAAAACAAATTCAGGTACCGATAATATTCAAAGTCAATTCACTCATCATGGATTCTCCCCTTGGCCTGGACATTCTCCCCCGGATGCTTTGCCAGTGTTTCATCCGTATCCGGTCGAAGGCGTATCCTACTATCCAACTTATCCAGGAAGCAGACCATTCATGCAGATGGGTTGTCCGCCTACAGAGGATCCCAGACTACATGCTGGTCAAAGTATGCAACATAGAAGACATTCCATGGATAATAGACACAACAATACTGAATCCGAAAATTGGAACAGAGAAACTTCGAATACAAGTTTTCAGGATGAAGTGGACATGGAGAGAGCAGGTTTACATACTGGAGACCGAAGAAAAAAGGCTAGTCGATCAGACAGGCGTAAATCTGGCACGGTGATCATCCGCAATATCAATTACATAACAAAGACAAAACGTTCTTCTGGCAGTGGATCATATTCTGATTCTGCAACTGAAACCGATGAAGATATTCAGGAATCCGGGAAGACGTCAAAAAGAAGAGGATCCGGTAAGGCATCTTTGAAGAGGTTGAATTCAACTGATAAAGAAGAAACAGACTATGGAAAGGAAGTGGATGGAGGACATTGGAACGTATTTCAAAATTATTTACTGAGTGGTGTAGAGGAAGGTAGACACGCCCTTAACCGGGATCAGTTTGAAGTGGAAAAACATGTTGCAACCAATGATCCCTTAGAATTTACTGATAATTCACATCCTTCATCAGACATGGCTGCTATCAATGAACAAGGTTCTTCGAACACTTATTTGGAAAGAAAGTTGTTTCTTAACGTGAATGATGACTCCTTCATGGTTGAACACAGGATCAATGATCCAAATATTGAGGGAAATGCTATTGACATGGACACAAAGTTCCCGAAGGTGCATACGAAGGACGGAAAACAGAAAATTTCCAATTATCAACCAGACGAGTTGAGCTTAATGCCTGAACGAGGTTTTGATAAAGGGTCAGTACGTTATGACTGTGCACTAGACTATGAAATGCAGGCCAAAGCTGTAAGTGGTTCTCAACAAGAAAAGAAGAACAAGGGGGAGTTGGCTCATTACACCAAACCAGGATCTAAGATGTTGGATAAGGAGCAGAAATCAAAACCCATTCCAAGTAGTTCTGATAGAAAAAAGACCGTTGGGCCAATAAGAAGAGGAAAAACTATTAAACCAAGTCCATTGGATGAAGCACGAGCACGTGCTGAAAGACTACGAAACTACAAAGTCGATCTCCAGAAAATGAAGAAAGAGAAGGTACTCAACTCATGTTGAAGTAAATTGAAATTAAATTAACTTTGTTTCAAGTATGCTCACATTTAGATTAACAAATCCACTTATTTCTTTTCTGTTAACCAGGAAGAGGAAGATATAAAACGTATAGAGGCTTTAAAGAAGGAGAGGCAAAAGAGAATTGCTGCTAGGAGTAGCTCAGTCACCAGACCAACCACCAAGTCACCGATGCCACCACAGCAAACAAAGAAACAGTTTTCGACGAAATTTTTGCCAAGCGTGCATAAAGGATCGAAATTTAGTGATTCAGAGCCAAGATCATCCTTACCCTTCCAAAGATTCCCTATCCGAGCTGCTTCTGGTGGTTCCAATGATTCTTCAAAAGCCTCGAAAATCAGTGGACTGAATACTGGTAGCCACTCAGTTACAAGCAAATTAAGGCGGTCAGTTCCTTCACTGCCTGAACCTAAGCAAGAGAAGGGTGATGGTGCAATCAATACTAAGGCATCAATAACAAGTAATAGAAGACTCTCAGAACCTAAAATGAGTACTGTTCGTCCGACTTCCTTATTCAAATCACGGAGCTCCAGGAGTATTTCAAGGACTAAAGCAACTGATGAGACCGAGAGAAGAAAAATATCTGCTATTGTGAATTATGATAAAGGAAAGATTGCAACCCTTCCAGAACTAAAAATTAGAATATCTAAAGCAAGTGATGTTGTCCAAGACAGATCACCAACTAAAGAGAAGACACAAAAGCTTAACGCTGACAAGCCTTCTATAAATTCAGAAGGTGCCTTGCTGAAGAAAAGTGGATTTGGAGTTTCGTCCATGGATGATGGAGATGACAATCCTATAATTGATAAAAATGTTGTGATGCTTGAGTGTGAAAAACCTTGTGCCCCTCATATTAACGACGAGAAATCAAGAGAAAAAATAGCGATAGAAAGGAGAAAGTTTGGCAATGATAAAGTAATGGATAAAACTGAGACCGTATCAAGTTATGTTGCTGTTTGTGCACCAACTTCATCCTTAAGAGCAAATATGGTAGACATAGAAGCTTTGGAGAACCAATCACAAGTAAAACCCGTATCCTTGAAGGTGCACCTTCATAACCTTGTATTGTGTATTTTTTTCCAATAATTTTCTTCCGTAAACATGATTGTGAGTGTGATTATGAATGCTGTGCTTGCCAAACATCACGTGATATTTTTACATGCTTGTGTTATTTATGTGAATTCTTTGTATATGGGAGAAATTCTTAGTACTTCAGCTAATTTTGAATAAATTTTCTTCCTACTTCAGGTTAAAATGAATAATACAGAGAAAGAATCTTCAAAATCATCTAGTACAAGTACTCGTGTTGCTGAGGAAACATACCAAGCCGCATACTCTCGAGGTTCTTTGTTGGAAAGTCGTACACAAAATTCTGAGCATGGTAAAGCACCTCCCGGGAGCTTGGAGACTGCATCGATTGGCATGGAGACTTTTAGAGCACATGCGTCTGAGGCCAGAAACTCTACACTTGCAAAGATTCCTGAGGTAAATGAGAATCCTCAGGTGAAGGAGTCACCGAAAGGGTTTAGACGGCTGTTGAAATTTGGAAGAAAGAATCACAACTCAGCTAATGGGCGCAACATGGAATCAAATCATGTCAACATTGATGGTTCTGAAGCAAATGAAATTGGAGCAAACGGTTCCTCCAGTGAAGGTAGTGTGGTTCTTTCTAATGATTACATTTCTATAGCACTTTCTGAAAATGGACGACATACACTCGCCTTTTCAACTTTAGCCATAGGTTATACAAAATTGACTAGAAAATAAAATAAATTTTTTGGATTACTCAACCTAACCATTATATTTGGATTTGCTGTGTTGTCTTAGTTTTCACTTTGAAGAATTTGCTCTCTCGAGACGAAACTCATGCAGCTCCTCAAAAGTGTAAGCACTTGCTCAGTTCATTTGAGTGAAACTTGAATCAGTTATTGCCTTATCTTTACATCTGAATATGAACTAATAAACATTTTGTTCTGTTACAGCTACTCGCTCTTTCTCCTTGTTATCGTCGTTTCGAAGCAACATCAGGGAGAAAAAGACAACGATGGCTTGACAGAATTGATCCTGTTACTTGAGGTTGATATTGTGATCATTCACTCGATTCTTTTCAATTTTTTTCTCTTTTTCTGAGCTTCAATAATCCTGAATTATTATTGTGTAGCTGAAAATATCAGAGTAAATATATTTTTGTCGAAATCTTTTTCTTTTCTAATTTTATAAACATTCTTTGAAATTATCAAAAGCAAAGTTAAACACACTTAAATGGCGACTTCTTTATCTGTAATCATTGTTGCATTCTATTCTTTATAGTGCATTCCTTTACATTAGACCAGACAGATTGATTCAGTTCAACCGGTGAACCGTGACCCCGGTGAGGTAATTTAGAGTGAAATATCATACAAGATACATATGAATCAACATGAATTTGACTACCGCGGTTGATTTGCCGGAAAATTAGCAACTTAATCGATTGTTTAAGTCCTATGTTTTGTATAGAAAATCGAGTTAGGTCTAGCTCTTGTATGACTGCGTTGAGGTCAATTTGTTCCTCCAGTTCAAGTTACAAGCATGCTTCACAGAAAGATAATCAGATTACATATAAAAATTTCCAATAAAATTAATATGCCACAAATATATTCCGATGAATCTACTAGACTTGGAACAAAATTTTCAAAGCTTTATCACTAAGTTTTCTGACTACCGCTGCTATAAAAACAAAATTTTCAAAGCTGTATCAGTAAAGTTCTTGCTATCTGTTCTGGCACTCAACTATTCAGCTAAGTATTAGCATGTACAATATATGGTGAAGAATCAATCAAATCTAATGATCAAACATGAAATGTTGCCTTTGCTCCTTCTAACCAATGCTTCCTTAGCCAGACACTCAGCTGCTTCTTGTGGATCCTCTATGTGCCTAATAAGATTCACCGCCTCTTGGTTCTTCATCACCTGCAAAATTTCGAAACAATCTTTGACTCAATTTTTGTTTTCTATATATTCTGAATAGTCATAATATTAACATATCATCTTGGGATTTACCTCCCATATTCCATTGCTTGCTAAGATCACAAACTCGGTGGATGAGTCGATCCGGTAGTAACCTCCAACCACTAGTTCCGAAGCTTTAGCATACTTTGTAGCAGTTGCATTACCACCTGATTCACATGCTATTACTTTAGTTTGTGTGTGTACATGAACATCAAAAGATTTCAGGGTTTGCTTTGATACCTGAAAAGAGTCTGTGATACCAATGTTTCTTAGCTGATTGATGATTGTATCTTCCATGTGTCTGATGAGCTACACCATCTTTACACAAAACAGTTCTGTAATCTCCTATGTTGGCTAGTACAAGTTTTTCTCCATTTATTATTATCACTGATGTTGAACCTATTAAGCAAGTTTCCTCTGATTCTTGTGTTTCTCTGATCTTTGTTTTTGCACCTAGGTATGCTTTCTTGAGTGTTTCTTTCGCTTTTCTTGCCAAATGAGTCTGACATAATTGAAACATCAGAAACACAAAAAGACCAGAAATATATGTGTATAAAGAATTAAGAAGCCATAAATTACAATTTTCATCTTTTAGAATGATATTTAGGGTTGTTTGTTTTAATTTTTTCTTAAAACAATATTTATTTAATTTTTTCTTAAAACAATATTTATTTAATTTTAAATAGTTTGAAGCTATAACTAAGTTTTTCATCTTTGACTTTTTTTTTATAAATAAAACTAAAGAATTTTAAATAATTTGAAGCCATAAATTAGTTTTCCATCTTTGGCTTTTTTAAAAATAAAAATGAAAGAATTACGAAAATTTACAACTGTTTTAAATAATTTTTAATGAAATAATTTTTGAATTTTTTTTTTATAAAAATTATATGATTTTTATTATATCAAAATATTTAATGATGGATATTTAAATTACTAAACATTAAAATTAATTTTTTACTTGATAAAAAAACGAATTTAAAATAATATGAGTATAGGCAAAATATCCTTCTTGGTCCCTTAACTATACCTCGGGGTTCATTTTGATCCCTTAACTTTAAAAAGTTCCATATTGGTCCCTTAACTCTTCAAATGTTCCATATTAGTCCTTTTTGGCCTATTAGCGACGGATTTAGCAACAATTTTTTGATTTTTTTCCGTTGCTAATAGGTCAAAAAGGACTAATATGTAACGTTTGAAGAGTTAAGGGACCAATATGGAACTTTTTAAAGTTAAGGGACCAAAATGAACCGAGGCATAGTTAAGGGATCAAGAAAGATATTTTGGCATGTGTATATGTATATAGAGAATTATGAAGCCATAACTTACCAACCATTTTGTCCTTTTACTTTTTATTAAAGTACTTCGAAACTATATATATGTAGGGCTTGTTTGTTTTATTTATTTTAAATTATATTTTTATAAAATTATATATGTTTATTAAAAATATATATTTTTTAAATGTTAAATGAAAAGTTAATGAAAATTTACAGCTGTTTTAAATAATACTTTTATTAAAAGAATTTTAGATTTTATAAAAATTCAATGATTTTTATTATATTACAATATTTAATGATGGATATTCAAATTACTAAACATTAAAATTAATTTTTTATTTTATAGAAAACTGAATCTAAAATTATTTCTGATAATATTTAAAAAAAAAGTCATAATAAATAATATTTTTTTTATATCTATAACAAACACCCTAACTTGTTTATGCTATTTTTTTTATTAAGTGTATGTATGTCACAACTCACAAACACTTATGGAAAAAGCTAAACCATAGAATATAATCAACAATCAAAAGCATAATTGATTTGGTTCAGAAATATAACAATCACAGAACACAAGATTTAATTGATTACCTCTGTGAGCTTCTTGTCAAAATAATTAGATTGCAAATACTTGGTAACACAATCTCCAATCACAGGATCAAAAATTCCGAAATACCACAATTCAGCACCTCCAATTTGCTCTCTCTGTATCACAACTGAATCAAATTCATAATCATCAGAATCATCGCCTTCAAACAAATCATGCTCCACCACATGATGACCGTGCGATATCGGCGTCATCCATGAAGGTTTGTTTGCAATTTCATGGTTTCTTCTCGTGCTTCTTTTTCCTAAACATGAAAGTTTCACTCTCAAAGCCTGTGAAAATTCAAAAGTAAAAATTCAACAATTGATTAATGTAACAGTATATGAAATAAGAATAAAATTATTTTTTTGACTAACCTTGATTTTGATACGAAAATCTCTCATTCCCATTTTGTTTTTTACTCTAATGAAGAATTGAGAATTTGAGAAGATGAAGATGTGAAAGTAGCTGCTTTCAATTGAATGAATTAATTGACTTTAATTATAAGTTAGGAGGATATTTTGAATAATATGTAACTGTTAGTGTCTACCTTTTGAAATATATATATATATATATATATATATATATATATATATATATATATATATATATATATATATATATATATATATATATATATATTAAATTTTGAAAAATCTTTTATCCTATTTTATTGGCATCAAATAAGAGAATTTAGTCAAATAAAACGGTTACTGATGTTTCGATATTTTTTGCGACTTTTATTAGGTTATGATAATAACGTTTTTTTTTTGCATTTGTATTTTTTTCTTAAGAAAAACAATAATTTCTGTTACGTATAAAAGTCTATATATGTATTTCACATCATGGATTTTTTAACAAAATTTTTTTTTATTATTATGAATTTTCGAGGAAATTGATTGGAAATATAAAATTCACATATTTAGTAAAAATTTATAAAACATCATGAATTTTCAAGGAAGTTGATTGGAAATACAAAATTCACTTATTTAGTAAAAAATTATAAAACTATTTTTAATTATTATATATTTTCTGATATAAAAATTGAGAAAATGTTTAATATAATTTTACTAATATGTCCCGATTGCAAATTTTAAATTAATTATATAATATACTATATTAATAAATTTTTATTGAACGACAGTGTAAGATAATTTTAAAAGGTCAATGAATATAAGTTAAACTCATAAAAATTTCCTACTAGTTCAAACTTCTATATTTCTATGAGTATACCGTTTTTTTACTATTTATATAATTTGTCATTTTCATATTTTTAATGAAACAATTTTTTTTTAAAAGCTCTTAAAATCATAACAAATATATTAAATATATTTGTATTAATAATATTTCTTATTATTTTTTAAAATATCATTGTTTTATATAACTGAACTGGCTCCTCTTGTATTTTTATTTTGTATATTTAATTGATATAACTTGGTAATGTTAAAAATTGTTTTTAATTGATATTACTCTGCATTTTAACAATTTCATTTACATACTTTACTCTGCATTTTAACAATTTTATTTACATACTTTACTCTGCATTTTAGTTTACACAGGTGAAAAACAATTTTCTTTTACAAGTGGAGTTGAAAGTTGACACAGAAAGCATTACGATGACTTCAAGTTTATGCAACAGTTCAATAACCATTATGATTTGATATATCTTTTATTATTTTTAGCAAGTGAGTGCAATTGTTTAGTCAAACTTTATCTTGATTTATAATTCTACTTGGTAGGTTCATTCGAAATTGATGGGCATCCAGATAACTCCTCACTTATTTTATTTTAGTATTTCTAGACACGTCAAAGGGTTAGTTTGAAAGGCTTTTTATCTCTTCAAACTCAAATTTAAATTTCTAAATAATTTCTGTTCTCTGTCCTAATTTTCAATGAGGATTAAAAATTAAAATCTAAATTCATCTTAAATAAATTTAGGTTAGATTCGAGTATTCGTGTTTTATTGGTCACTATCTATTTAATTAAATTAATTTTTTAATAAAATTATTTAGTTTTTAAAATATTAAATATTATTATAAATAGTAAAATAAAACAATTTAAAGAAAATTTATAAATATATTTTAAATAATAAATATAAATTAAAATATTAAAATATTGACCACGTATTTATGATTCTAAATTATTAGAACTAACTTGTGTCAAAAAAATTGTCCAAATGAGTTTAGGTTAGGTTGAGTATCCACACTCAACCTCCATCCATTAAATACCATTACAAATAATAAAATAAAACAATTTCAAAAAAAAAATTATATACATTTTAAATAATAAATATAAATTAAAATATAAAAATATTAACTATATATTTAATATTTTAAAATATCAAAACTAAATAATAAAATATATAATAAAATAAATAAAAAGGCTTTGATTAAGTAATAAGAATTTTTTACCCAAATAACCTAACTTTTCAAAAAAACTCTCAAAATAACCCACATTTCAAAATTATTCCCAAAGTACTCCAGTTAGGGTTTGGAATTACATAAGGGTGTCAGATGGATTTACGACACCTTGTTAAGACTATAAGAGAGTCGCCAATTGGATTGGAGACTCCTCATGCAGTCTCCAATCCAATTGGCGACTTGGTGTTAAACTTATAAAGGAGTCGCCAATTCATCTGGAGACCCTTTGTATTTTGAAATTTTTTTCAAAAAAATAGATACTTCCGAAGTTAATTAATAAAATACGTTAGACGGGAAAATAAATGTTATCATTAATTAAAAAAAGTATTACATAAATTAATGTTGGCGACTGAGTTGTTATACCGGCCACCGGTTCCACATCCCCTAGGCACCCTAACTCGTTGCGCTCGTCCCTCACGTTGTTGATTCACGCTTGGTGTTTGAGGAGTTGAAGTTTCAGGAACATTCTCAGATGTTCCCAAAGGATCTCTTGCATTTTCATTAGGTCATGTGTGTTGAAACTGAGTGTGCGACCCATGCCAGAGTAGTTCGGATGTGATGAAGGGGTCATCGGTGTGCGGCATGGACGGTTGAAGGGGGACATTGGTGTAAACGATTCGTTGGAGAAAGGTTGAAATGGTAGTGGTGTTTGAAAGTCATAAGGTTGTTGAGATGGTTGAGTGGGTAAGCCAGGGTATGATGTCAGAGCGTTTTGACTATGGAAAGATGTTTGAGCGTTATGGCTATGGTATGATGTACCCTCGTTATGGCTATATCTTGATGTTGTGTTGGGGCCATAGCCATATTGGGATTCTGGGTAGTAGTCAGTGTGTGGGAGATGGTATGGGGGACGTTCTTGGTATTGTGGTTGGGTGTTTGACATGTTTGGGTGGTGAATGGGTTGGTAACTCTGTTGGGTGGGGAGCTATGAGTAACATGGCCTTTCTGGTGGGTTAGACGTTGAAGTGTCTTGTGTGTAGGTGGTTTAGCGTGGGTCGTATAAATATCTGTCTTCGGAGACAAACCCAATTGCAATCTGTAACGCCCCGATTCTGAATTTCCCATTTTGTTGAGTCTTTCGATTTATTTGATTGATTATTATTTCATTTGTGAAATTTGATTATTAATATGATATGTGTGCATATTATGATATTTTATTATTCAGAGACTTTTGGGAATTAATTAGAGGGTGTTTTAGATAATCCTTAATTAGTTGTTATTTGAGAGAAATAGAATAGAAAGAGTATAAGTGGAAATAGAGAGAAAAGAAAAGAGATAGAGAGAAATAGAAAGGAAAGAAGAGAGAAGAGGAGAAAAACCTAGAACCATCAAGAATCAACTTCTAAGCTTCGATTAATCGGGTAAGGGTGTGAAACTTTATTATTCTTTCGATGTGTATGATTATGTATGTTATGTTGGTTTGATTTTGGATTGGGGAGAGTTTTGCTCATTTTCCATTTTTAGGTCGAATCTGATTTAATAGGTAGAAACTGAGTTTTAACGGTTAAAAATGAGAATAAGTGGTAAAGTTTAGTCGAGGAATGTTAGACTAAGGTGGTTGAAACTGGTTTGGTGAGAATCGGTTGATTTCGGAAGGATTGGGCGATTTTGACAGTTAGGGATTTCTGAGTTCGCAGATTCGCTAGCATTCGCTAGGCGAATGGGAGCGAAGGTTCCCCAGGCGAATCCCAGCGAGTGGGTAGCGAACCAAGTCAGTAGCCCAACTTTGTCTTCGCCAGTGAGTTCGTCAGGCGAAGGAGGCGGCGAGAGGCTTCGCCAAGCGAGTGTGGTAGCAAGTAGTAGCAAACACTTCCAGTAGCTACTGTTTGTCTTCGTCAGCTAGTTCTCCAGGCGAGTGTGGTGGCGAGCATTCGCCAAATGCTTCGCCAGGCGAAGGTCAGCAAATGTGACACCATTTTCTTTTATTTCCTGTGCTTTCCATCCAATTGTCGATTGTTTGGTTTAATTATGTTTAATCCTTATCTGAATAGATAGTTTGTGTGCTGTTGTGATGTGATGTGTTGTGGGTAGCCGTAAGGCGTGAATCCTAGATTGTGAATCGTGGAATGTGGAATGTGGCCGTTTGGCATGATTAACGTGAATGTGCATAAATTGTATATACTGGTATGAGGTGAAAATGCATAATTATATATTTGTGAATATGTATGCATTTCAAGAGTATGTTGGGTCATTTTGCATGTGAAGCATCATGATTGCATTCTTGTGTGCCTGATCCCGCGTAGGATCTGAAGAGGAGCATGAAGAGCATTTGAGGATTGTGTTACAGATTTTGAAAGAGAAGCAATTGTATGCTAAGTTGTCAAAGTGTGAATTTTGGTTGTCGGAAGTGAGTTTTCTCGAGCATATTATTTCCGGTAATGGTATTAGTGTGGATCCATCCAAGATTGATGCGGTAATGCAATGGGAGACTCCTAGATTAGTTACGGAGATTCGAAGCTTTTTGGGCTTGGCAGGTTATTATCAGAGGTTTATTGGAGGATTTTCGAAGCTGGCACTTTCATTAACGCAGTTGACTTGTAAGGGAAAGACTTTTATTTGGGATGCTGATTGTGAAAAGAGTTTCATTGAGTTAAAAAGAAGATTGACAACAGCGCCAGTCTTGATTTTGCCGAATCTTACGAAACCTTTTGTGGCTTATTGTGATGCTTCCTTGACAGGTTTGGGTGGTGTTTTGATGCAAGAGGGAAAAGTTGTGGCTTATGCTTCGTGACAATTGAGAGTGCATGAAAAAATTACCCTACGCATGATTTGGAATTAGCGGTCGTGGTGTTTGGTTTGAAATTTTGGAGGCATTATCTTTATGGTGCAAGATTTGAAGTTTTTAGTGATCACAAGAGTTTGAAGTATTTATTTGATCAAAAGGAATTGAATATGAGGCAAAGGAGGTGGTTAGAGCTTTTGAAAGACTATGATTTTGGTTTGAATTACCATCCGGGTAAAACAAATGTGGTGGCCGATGCCTTAAGTCG